TTCCTTCCTTCCTTCCTTCCTTCCTTCCTTCCTTCCTTCCTTTTTTTTTTTTGTTTTTTTGAGACAGGGTTTCTCCTTGTAACCTTGGCTGTCCTGAAACTTGCTCTGTAGCCCAGGCTGGCCTTGAACTCACAAAAGATCCGCCTGCCTCTGCCTCCGGAGTGCTGGGATTTAAGGAGTGTGACACCCCTGCCGGGCAGTAGGGGCATTTTCTAAATTGAGATTCCCACTTCCAAAATGACTCTAGCTTGTGTCAAATTGACATAAAAACTAACCAGGACAATTTATCCATTGTCACCTTGAGATACACATAAGTGTCAAATCATACCTTCCTTTCTAGTTCATCCCAAGATCTCACATTAATAATATCACAATATAAAACATTTCAACTTTTGCCGGGTTGTGGTGGAGCACACCTTTAATCCCAGCACTCAGTGGGCAGAGCCAGGCAGATCTCTGTGAGTTCAAGGCCATCCTGGTCTATAGAATGAGATCCAGGAAGGAACCAAAACTACACAGAGAAACCCTGTCTTGAAAAACAAAATAAAACAACAAGAACAAAATGTTCAGTGATTAGCCAGGCAGTGGTGATGCACATCTTTAATCCCAACACTCAGGAAGCAGAGGCAGGCCATTCTCTGTGTGTTCAAGACCAGCCTGGTCTACAGAGTGAGATACAGGACAGCCAGGACTACACAGGGAAACCCTGTCTCTAAAAGCCAATAAAACAAAAACCAAAGTTTAGCACTTGACATCCAGGACCTCTGGTCCTCCGGGCTCCACAGGACCCAGCATCAAGCTCCACATTTCAGGCCTGCCTGCCATCTGCAGCATACACAACTTGTCCAGTAGGCTCAGATCAGCTGCACTGCCTGGCTACTGCTGTCCGGCACTCACCCATGGTCCCTGCATCTTCAAAAACACTGAGGTCTCCGCACCTGGGCTGCACCTTCGTCAGGAACTTTTTCTAGGCTCTCGTCTAGGACTCTGACTGCTGCGGGGTGCCAAGCCTCAACTTCTCTCCATCCCTTCAGTCCTGGGGCTTGGACTGTCACTGAGGACGCACCTTCACCAGGCCTCCTCTGGCATGTCTTCAGAACTTCAGTCCTGCCACTCAGTGCCAAGTCTCAGCGGCTCTCCTTGACCCCTTCATGCCTTCAAAGCCAGTACCTCTTACCGTACCAAATTTTGGCTGTCATCAGGAAGTTCAGCCTTGGCTGCCTCTGGAGCGCAGCCTGGGTGTGCTGACCCTGAGGAAACACTTCGCAGAAGAGTCCGCCTCATGGAAACCAGTCTCTCTCCTCTTTGGTTTTCTTTGTTTTTGCTTGCTTGTTTGTTGACTTGTTTGTTTGTTTGGTTGGTTTTTTTAGGGTTTCTTTGTGTATCCCTGGCTGGCCTTAAACTCACAGAGATCTGCCTGCCTCTGCCTTCTGATTGTTGGAATTAAAAATGTGCACCACCACTGCCCAGCACTTTAGTGGTTCTTAATTCAAAATATCACATGAATGGGCTTCCTAAAGTGCGGAGAGGAATGGAATGCTGAGATGAAGCCACCCACAAGCCGAGAAGAATGGACAGCCGAATTCCAAAAATACCAACAATTTCCAGAATTTAAAATCCTGAATCATGACAGGACACTGGTGGAATTCAGGTTTATCTGGTACATGGACTACTCACACCAAATGTGAGATCGAACTGTAGACCTTGTGTACATCTTATTTCACAAATGAGTCAGATACGCTAAGCCTGACTTCAGATAGGCTGAAGACAATGCCCCAGTGTTGTGGAGAAACCTCGAGTGACTGTCCAGGCAGTTGGATGTTTCTATCAACTCACATTTTTTTTTTTTTTGGAAGCCACTTCTTTGCACTTCCTGTTTCATTAGGTAATATCATTTCCTTCTTGGGTCTCTAAGGGAGTTGAAGATTAGATAGTTATAGTTATAGTTAGTTGAAGATTAGATACTTATAATTAGTTGAAGATTAGATACTTATAATTAGTTGAAGATTAGATAGTTATAGCTTTCCTTGTTAAGAAAATGTGGTGATGTTTTATTTGTGCTGAAATGTGATATTTTATTTGTATGTTAATAAATAAAGTTTGCCTGGAGATCAGAGGTCACAGTCAGCCATAAACAGAAGTAGGGTGGTGGTAGCACACACCCTTAATCCCCAATCACATGGCAGGCAGAGTCTCTGTGTGTTCAAGGACACAGCCAAGCATGGTGACATATGCCTTTAATGCCAGTACCAACCATAGAGATTTGGAGGTCTGTATAGACAGGCAGTGATGAGGAAGTGATGTGGCTGGGTTTAGAGCCAATGAGAAGGCAGAAGAGGAAGGCAATAAAGGCACAGTTTAGACAGGAAGAGGCTCTCTCGGGTAGCGATGGCGAGGTGGTAAGCTAAGGTTAGTTGGTGGCTATTGTTCTGATCTCTATGGCTTGCACCTCTGTATTGGGCTCTGTGTTTCTTATTTAATAAGACTGTTTAGAAATTCGTCTACACTAAAGTCTGTGAGGGACTCTCAAACTTCCTATTAAACTTTACATGGCTTCCATTGTCTAAATTTCTCTCAACACTCTTATCTTCCAAGCTAACATAGAACAATCCACTGATTCAACAATCATTGGCTTTTCCACCCAGAAGTTCAAACAATACCACAAGCCTCCCCAAAACACAAGGTCAAGTCTGTCAATACCTCACTCCTAGAACTGCTTTCTCCCTTAGTGTAATGATGTGCGCTCCAGAGGCCTCGGTGGGTTCTGGAACAAGGTGCCCCAGGGCTCATGAGAAAGTGCCCACCATGTGGGCACGGTGGAAAGTTACTCACAGCGCAGACACAATGTCCACGTGGCAAGTTTATTTTTAAGGGGAGGGGGCAGGAAAGGAAGAGAAAGCAGGCAGGGGCTAAAAGAAGGAGAAGGAGAGAAGGAGGAAAGGAAAGAAAGACACAGAGGAGGTGCGCCCTACCTCTGGCGAGAGGGGGGAGAGAGAGAGCAAAAGGGGAGGAGTTTTTTTTCTTGAAGGGACCAGGACGTCAGGAGGATGCCAGATGGGTCCCCAAGGGGCGGGTCAGAATACTAACATTCCTGTTTTGATTATTATGAAATGGTGAGTTATGGACAGCAAGCAGGATAGGTGGGTGGGGAATCAGGGCCCAAATTCTCAAGACTGCTCCCTGCTGATGTGGGGACAAAGGGGGGAGGAGGAAGTTGGGAGGTGTGAGTGAAGAGGCATCCACGCCAAATCAGGGGTACAGGAGCCACCGCCTCTGCTGCTTCTCTGGAGGTGCAAATGCCTCTATCCATCCTATAAAAGTATCAATAAATCAGGAGACAACAGATTTTATGAGTGGGCATGTGGGTGAAGTTAACCTGTCAGTATTCACCTGGTTGGCGTCCTCAGTTGGTGGTTGGCATGGTTGGAGCTGATGCAGGGGTTGGTGGTGTATCTGAAGAGCCCCTGAGGGTTAGTCCTGGCACAAGTCTGGCAGGAGAGGTGGACCTATGCAGGAGCCTGTAAGTGTGTAAAACAACTGGAACAGATTCACATCTTGGTGTCATAACAAAAGCTATGGCTTTGGGTTAAAAGGTATGAACATTTCCTGGCTTCAACCCAGTGAAACATAACCAGAGGAAATTTACTGAATGGAAGTGGTTGAGTGAGTGAAGGAGGAGGGAGGCTTCCCTAAACATCATCAGATCTGAGAAGGATGTGTAAGAAGTTACAGTGAAATCTGTTCTGTTTATTGGATCTGGTAACAAGGTAAATTGTGTCTAGACCTAGTAGTAGCCCTGGGAGAGGGAGACCTGTGAATTTTACATAGAGAATGAGAAGGCAGCTGAAGCAGAGCCTGGTCATCAAATGGAATCAGAGATCTGAGAAGGATAAATCATATCTGAGTTCAGACCAAGCAGCTTTTGAATTTATTAAAAATGACAGGGACCAGTCCATACCCAGGTCTCCATATCATTGGAGGCAGAAGCATCAGAACAGCATCAATCTTCAGCCACCAGGTCCATAAGGTGGGGGTTTTTCCTATGAAAAGGAACATAGGGAAGACTGATCTTACTTTGTCTAGGCAAAATGGGTGCAATCAATTCTCCGATGTCCTGCTGTTTGTCTTCCAGGCTGGGTCCTGGAGGCAGGTGTCATATTGGGCATCTTGCCCAGAGTTCAGCATTGCCATTATCCAGGTGGAGATATTATGGTGCCCTGTAATCTTCTTCGGAGACCTTGGGTCACTGTTAAGATCTGGGAGTCTCTGTCTGATACAATAAGCTTTATGATCAACATTTTAAATGCCATATTCTGCAGATCTCTAAGCATTTGAGGACTGCCTGCCTATTAGGTATGTATGGCTGGCTATCAGCTAGTATTCCTTAAGTCCCCAATATCTTAGCAGCTTCCATAAGGCCAGGATTTACTGTCTCCTGAGAAGGGAAGGCAAAGAAGAGTGACAGGGGAAAGGCAGGCGGATCTCTGTGAGTTCAAGTCCAGCCTGGTCTACAGAGCGAGCTCCAGGAAAGGCACAAAGCTACACAGAGAAACCTTGTCTCGAAGAAAAAAAAAAGAAAGAAAGAAAGGAAGAAAGAAAGGAAGGAAGGAAGGAAGGAAGAAAGAAAGAAAGAAAGAAAGAAAGAAAGAAAGAAAGAAAGAAAGAAAGAAAGAAAGAAAGAAAAAGGGGGAAG